CCGTGTGGCCTTGAACCCAGTTACTTAATTTCTCCCTGGGTGTGGCGGGGTCAGCCACGGGGGGAGCGGAGGAAGCTGAGGTGGACGGGCCCTGGGACCTGCAGAGAAAGGGGCCGGGAACGAAGCTGACCTCCATCGTGGCCCGGGTTCCTGGTTGTAATATCACAGCCATCACCTGGCAGTTGGCTGCACCCTGAGGAGCTCAAGGTCAAGATGGGGGGGGGGCAGGTCGCTTAGAAGACAAAGGAGGGGCCCTGGCCAGCGGATTGGGTGGAACGCATTTCCCCTGAGAAGCTGAGCAAACCCCCGGGACCCCACGGTCACCGGGCAGAGCCTGGGGGGCCCTGATTGGCTGTCTGCGTGTTGTCACTAAGGATGGGGTGGGCGTGCGGGGAGCTGGCCCCATCCCCCCCTCCTGCCGTGGAGCCTGGTGGGGGTCTGGGGCGCCCTTTTCTCCTTGGCAGTGTCTGCGCGTCCCCGGCCGCCTCCTCCCGCCTCTGTCCTCTGTCCTCCCTCTCTCCTCTGTCCTCTCCTCCTGCCCTGTCCGCCGGGCTCCCCGAGGTCTGAGGAACCGCTGAGCTCAGCTCTTCTTCGGGCTCTGAGCTGGGGGTGGGCCCGGGCTCACTTCTCACCGGGGGAGGGATCTGCCAATCACACCCTCAGCGCCCAGCTCCCGCTCAGCTGCGAGCTGGGGAAGCCGGTGCCCGTGCCCGCCCGCCGTGCCAAGTCCTGCCTCTGAAAAGCTTGGGCCCTTTCTCCCCGCTCCCGCCGTGCAGGGCTGCCCCTGCCAAGCGGGGAATAGACCGCGCTCTGTTCTGGGAGGTTCCGGGCCTCGCTGAGCAGGGGTCAGGCGGCCTCCCTGCAGGATGGAGGCCCGGAGGGGAGGGGTGAGGTGGGGCTCGGGGAAGATGCCCGAGGGGCAGATCCCGGAAGTCTTTGCAGAAAGATGGGCGTTCGGTCCCCAAAACGTTACTGACAGAGGCCGGGAGCAGACCCGGGGGCCGCAGTGAGCCAATGGGACTTTCGCACACATTGCGTTAAATCGTAATTTACCTCGAGGATGGAGGTTTTCTTTAAATATGTGTTTTTATTGATTGCAGAGAGGAAGGGAGAGGGACAGAGAGAGAAACATCCATGATGAGAGAGACTCATGGATCGCTGCCTCCTGCACGCCCCACACTGGGGATGGAGCCCACAACCCGGGCCTGTGCTCTGACCGGGAATCGAACCCTGACCTCCTGGTTCACAGGTCGACGCTCAGCCACTGCGTTTTTCATGCACCTTAAATGGTGCTCCCCCTCCTCACCCCGGCCCTGGATCTGGCCCACACTTCTCGGTGATTAAACGGCGTTTGAATTGGATCCTCGGCCTGTGGCTGCCCTGGGACCCCCGAGAAACTGGTTCCCGTGCTCCCTGGAGAATGGGCTGAGAAACCCCTCGCTCAGAGCATCACTTACTTAGGAGAATCTCCCTTCTCTTCCGCCTCCGTCTCCAGTCACTCCTCCGCGTCCCACTCCCGGCACCGCGCTCTCCCGCATCCTGGTCAGCTGCTACACACGGGGCCCTGTCCGCAGCCTCCCGGCCGCACCCCTTTCTCTGGGCACCACCCTCACCCGCCTGTGCCCCGAAAAGCCCCCTGGTGCTGAGAATGAGCCGGTGTGGGGCCTCTCTGACCACAGAGGACCCCACAGGAGGTGGCTGGGCCCACCGAGGGTCCCAGGGTGAATGCCTAAGGGGACCCCCAACTCCCGGGCCCTGACATCCCGGCGCCCCCTCTCCGGGCCGGCTCTCCTGTTCCCGGCAGGCGGGCTCCCCGTGGGCTCAGGGCTGCTGGTGA